GTCTCATTCTTGAATCAGAGCTTTGGGGTTGTTCCATGCTGGCACAGGAAGCTTGATGGAATTTAAGGGAGCTACCCCAAGCTACGCTCAAGCGCCACACTTGAGGGGTGGGAGATAGCCTTAAAAGCATGTTGATCATGGTTTGTTTTCCTTTTGGTTTCTTTCTGTTTTTTTTTAATGCGGTGCTGGGATGAGCCTTGTACTTGTGAGACAAGAGCTCTGCTACTGAGCTGTGTCCTTAGTGCTCTGGCTTGTTTTTCTTTGAGGAAAACGAGGGAGGAGCTACACTGACGCTATAGAGATGGTAATGAGATGATCATCTTCTTTACACTAACCGTCCTATTCTATTCTATTTTTTAGATTTACTTATGTTTGTGCATGAGTGTGTGCACATATATCTGTGTGTAGCCCGGGTTGTTCTGGAACTCACTATGCAGAGCAGGCTGTCCTGGAACTCACAGAGATTTGCCTGCCTCTGTCTACCAAGTGGTGGGATTAAAGGTGTCCTGCCTCATCCCCCCACAGTTGTTTGTTTGCTTTTTAAGTGGTTATAGGTCTTAAGAAGAGTTGAAAAAGTCCAATGTCTATTGAGACACAAAAGTTCAGAATTTTCTCCACTGTGAGGGCTCACGTACCTCATGTATTCCAGCCGATACACAGACAAGAGATAGGTAGACATGGCAAAGTCCAGCTTGTTGATGAGGGCAGACACCTCGGGAGGAGGATCTAGCAAGTTGATGATGGTACTTCGGAGCTCACTCAGTTCAGCCTGGAGGGAAAGAAATACCCAGAGGCTCGTGAAGTCACCTTTCCAGGAGAAAAGAAAAGATCTGTTGTAATTTCTTTCTGGACAGTTTAACAGGAGTGAGAAGAGAATCATACAGGGGTAACCGTGTCGTTTTTCATGGCTGAGTTGTACTGGAGAACTGATCGAAGAGGCTCTTTGCTGGGAAAGGTAAGCAGTGGTGACTTGGTAGCTATTTCGCAGACTCCCTCATACCATTCTTCTGGCCAGAGTCCTGTAAGAGAATGGTGTACGAGAGATAAGGGCTGGACGTACAGATCAGTGGGCCACCTGACGAATATGCATGAATGGGGCCATTTTCCCATCACAGGGTAGGTAGAATGAGAGAGGAGACAGGGGGAGAGGGAGGGAGGGAAGGAAAAACGGAGGGAGGGAGAAAGGGAGAGGGAAGGAGAGAGAATATATGAGAATATGGAGTATCTAGTTCAAGAAGTCTATACGGTATTGGCTCTGGCAATTTCTAGAGTACTAAGACAATTATTCCCACAGTGAGACACAGAAACAAGTCTGTTATCTAATTTTGTGTGGGATGTGGCATTCCATTGGGAAGTGTAATATTTGTGGGTACCTGTAGGAACAAGCAGCTACATTTGGGCTCAGTTCAAATGTACTCAGACTCTGAGGTGGTTGAGTCTGGCCTCAGCTGTTTCTACTGCACACTCAGCCTTCCCTGGAGAGATACCATTCCCTACCTGAGCCTTCCACAGCGAATCCCATCAGCACAGAGTAGAGCCAGAAGTCCCGGAAAAGCTTCTGTAGCCTAGGTTTAGCCTCTTTGATGGGCGGCAACCGTCGGGTGAGCTGACATGGAGGAAGGGAGAAAGTATAGAAGAATTTTACTAGCAAATAACCTAAGTGTTAGGTCAAGCACACATTCTCCAAGAACTCCACACCAGTCAGAAAGGATGCAAATGTTTAGGTACACTGAGCAGTGGCTGATACTCAATTACTGTGCCAGTTAGCAGGTTCCTTCTCTCACTGTTATATGGAATGCTAAGGTGTGCCAGGCACTGTGCTGAGAGCTCACTCAAGGGCCTTCTGTCTAACTGGGAGGAAAACAACCACAGTGGGTGCAGAGTCCCTGGAAATGTCACTGTGGTCCTCACACAAAGCTTCGTCAGGCAGAGAACAGAAGATAGCATCAGTTGCTATAAGAAACCTCAGATTCCAAGCCTAGGGCTGGGAGGGCCTTCAGAGAAGGTAACACAATTAGAATGGCAGACTGAGCAATAACACCCCTCTCCTGGTTTCTCTATGTAATAGTACCCGCTATCCTAGGACTCTTAGACCAGGCGGCCACAAACTCACAGAGATCCGACTACGTCTGCCTCCTGAGTGCTGGGATTAAAGGTGTGTGCCAATACCACCCAGCTCTTTTTTCTTTTTTGAGATAGGATCTCACTAAATAGGATAGGCTGGTCTTGAACTCAAGAGATCTACAGGCTACTGCCTCTTGAGTGCTGGGTTTAACGGTATTGACCACTACAACTGTCTGAAAAGGCCCTTTTGAAACATCTGACTCTGATCAGATGTTTGCTGTATGGAGACTATGGTCTTCCAGGTTTAACCCCAAGCCCTCCATTAGGAAACACAAGTACAGTGCACACGGTTGGTTACCGCCATGTCTTTTCACCTTCCAACAACTCAGGGTACAGCCTGCTCAGTGCACATATGTAATTAGACAGATACCACTGTTTGGTCTAAGTGGTTTTCTTATGGATAGTTTTTATTCAATTCTTTAAGTTCTCTGTAAAATTTTAAAATTCCATTATTTAAATGTTGGAAAAAAGCTGGGTATGGTGATGCATGCTTTTAATCCCAGAACTGTGGAGGCAGAGGCAGGAGGATCTCTGAGTTTGAGACCAGCCTGGCCTACATAGTGAGTTCCAGGTCAGCTGGGGCTACATAGCGAGGCCTTGTGTCAAAAATGAATGAATGAATGAGTGATAAAAGCTGTAAAAATACCTAACCTAGAAGTAAGCCCTGATATAGCAATAGCAAGATAAAGAGAACAGCAACAACACCTAACAACAAAGAACTAGAATATAAGTGAAAGACAGTTTTATTTATACTGGAATCAAAATACATTTAAATATCAGGGTGTCAACAAGTGTTGAAATCTAGGTTTTGGTTTTTATTTTTATTTTTTCAGTAGTCAGTTATAAGAGCAGAAAGTGGAATTGCAGGAAATATCCCTGATTTCTGGTTTAAGCCAATAAGGCTGGGAATGTAGCTCAGCTGCAACAGTGTTGTTTATCATGCATGAAGCCCTGGGGCCAATCCCCAATACTGCATAAACAGGGAGTAGTGTCCCATGCCTGCATTCCCAACGTCTAGTGGAAATAGAAGGATCTCGGGTACTCAGTGACTTTGATGCTAGCCTGTGTCACATGAGATCCTGCCTTCGGGGGTTAAAAAAATCTCAGGGGTTATATATAAACTTGCCATTTTGAATATGGCCTCTGTTTCCTGCTTGTGGCTCTTAAGCTATTCCAGTTGCTGTGCATGTTGCTTCCCTGCCATGAGAGATTCTTATCCTTCACGTACTGTAAGTCTACATAAATTCATCCTTCTATTGTCTTGGCCAGAGTGTACCACAGCAATAGAATAGTATAAAACGAAAGATGTGCCTCCTGGCTCCTCCCTGGTTTTCTCTGTGAACATGTACACACAGGTTCTATGAATGAGAATGGTTATCATTTCTGAGTGTCTACTGTGCTGGTCACTACTCTGACTTCATTTTTACATAGTAGGTAGAGTTATTCTATTTTAAAGTTATTTTTAAAAAGTTGTGTGTGTATGAGTATCTCTGCATTTGAGTGCAGGTGCCTTTGGAGGCCAGAGGCAGAAGAGCCCCTGAAGTTGGAATTACAGGCAGTTATGAGTCACTTGTTATGGGTGCTGGGAACTGAGCCCAGGTCCTCTGTAAGAGCAGTAGTGTTTCTTAACCCATTGAGCCATCTGTGGTGTTTGAATTAGAATGGCCCCTATATACTCATGTTTGAAAACTTGCTCCCTAGTTGGTGGACCTGTTTGGGAAGGTTTAGGAGGTGTGTCTTGGAGTGAGGTTTGAGGTTTCAAATGACTTGGACCATTTCCATTGAACTCTTGCCTCCTGTTTGCAGTTCATGTAATCTCTCAGCCTCACTCTGCCATGATATACTCTAACCCTCTGGCAACATAAGCCCAATGAATCATTTCTTTTGTAAAAAACCACGGCAATAGAGAAGTGGCTAACACAGCACATCTAGTACCTCATCACTCTTTCTTTACAGGAGAGAATGCTAACTATAATTTCAGTCAAGGTGCTCAATATGGTTTCTTGAAGACAGGAAAGTGGTACCCACATACCACTCTGCAGGGAAGATGCAAAGAGAAACAGCATTCAAGTACCAAGGCACTCTCACATGGGCTCAGAGCCAGGCACGGCTGAAGCCAAAAACCTGAGCAGTCCCTAGTAGGCTGAAATGAGAAAGAGTCTCTCAGAGCAATGTGACAGTGCTCTTGGTAGAAAAAGGTGGAGCTTACACTTGTAGAAACACACACCCACCCACACAGTACAATATAATCCAGATATACTTATTTGCTAATTATAGGCTGAGGAATTGCAGTAGAAACATTTAATTTTAAAACTTTTTGAGGGCAAGACATAGTGATTCATGCCTTTAATTTCAACACTCAGGAGGCAGAGGCAGGCAGATCTCTATGAATTTGAGGCCAGTCTGGTCTACATAGTGAATTCCAGGTCAGCCAGAGCTGTAGAAACCCTGTCTAGAAAACAAACAAACAAACAAACAAACAAACAACCCAGTTTATATATTTCCTAACTCTCTCCTTCACTTTTCAATGAGGAATAAGCTTTCCATGAGCTTATGGTGACTCCACCTATAGTGTGCAGCCAGCCTTCTCCTCAGAGAGGAAGATCAAGCAGGAGGTCAGTCATGGCTCCTAGACACTGAACATGCCTCAGGTATGCTTAGCTTCAGCAAGATATCCTGAGCAAGACAGCAGACATGCTGATGCAGATAGAAACATTCAAAGCCTCAGCCACCAGAAGAGCTGTAGTTTGGAAGTAGCTTGCTATTAAGCAGTGATCAGAGACACAGCTGAAGGTTTCTGCTGACAAAGTTAGTTGAGCGGTGTTTGGATTAGGACATGTTTGCTTTGGGAGATACACAACAGCCTAGCACCAAAGTTCACCCTGAAATCCCGCTGTTGGCCCTTGCTGGTTTCATCTCTGCCACGCCACTGCTCACAGGCACAGAGGTAAGCTTGCTTTTTAATGTTTTTTTTTTTGTCAATTACAAATTTTCATTTTTGATGTTTAGAGTTAAGCAACTGATTTCTTTATTGAAGTAAAAAAAGAAATACCTGCTATGTAAGGGAGCTATAAAAATGAACTCAGTGAAGTGACCAGCACCCAGTGGACACTCAGAAATGATAACCATTCTTATTGTTGAGAAAGAGAAAACATTAGTACTTTAAAAATTCAGCATAAAATTCTACCAGTTGTATTACTGGCACAATTGACAAAACTAGAATTGGAGACAAAGTATTACATTTATTATACTTTACATTGGAAATTAGACATGGCGGCACAAGGCTGAAATTCTAGCACTTGAGGGGTTGATGCAGGGGAATGAGCTTATGGCCTCTGTGTAACTATCACCCCAGGGCAGAAAACATTTTCTCCCCAAATTAGATAATTGTCTAGTACGTGAGTATGAGAATATCTTTCTTCAGAAGTCCCCCTAAGCATACTATTAAACGTCAGAGGAATGTAAGAGACCTCACCTCAAAAGGCTCAGGAAATATGTATACATGTTGATACATATACATGTACACACACCACACAAATACCCCTCACACCACATACACACACCACACCCCCACACGCTACACCACATACACATACATACACTCCACATACATACCCTGAACACACACCAAACACCCCTACGTACTTCCCCCAATAAACCACACACACACACACACACACACACACACACACACACACACACACACACAGGAAAATGTAAAAAGCCAGTGACAGTAAAGGGGACACAATGGCTGCTCAGTTACTCCATTCTTTCAATTCTTCTGTAAGCTTCAAGTTATTTTAACATAAAAGACTTCCATATTACTGACAGCTACTTTTCTCCCTTCCTGCTTGTTTGGTCTGATTCTGGAGACATCAAGGGGTATTCTTTATGACACGTGACCAAAAAGGCCATGTAACTACTCCATTCCATGTAGCTCACAAGAGTATGCTCTATGATATTCCTATGAAAAAACAGTTTTGAGTTTATCTTAAAATTATAGTACTTCAAAAATAGCAATTGAATACATACACAACTTACAAGTATTTTTGAAATGCCTTCATTTTTTAATCAAACTGACCAGCAATTTTTTTTTTAATCAAAGATTTACCTGTTAGAGCTCTCATTTTTCTTTTTCTTTCTTTGTTTTTGTTTGTTTGTTTTTTTCTGTGTAGCCCTGGCTGTCCTGGACTCACTCTGTAGACCAGGCTGGTCTTGAACTCAGAGCTCCACCTGCCTCTGCCTCCCGAGTACTGGGATTAAAGACCTGTGCAACCACCACTGGCTGAGCTCTAATTTTTCAATGCATAAGAACGAACGAACAAACAAACAAACAAACCCTTTACATTTTCTCCTTTCCTAGTAAGATAATAATGGAAAATATGGCTTATAACTTTTGTACATACAATGTAGGAACAGAGTATATAATGCTAATCCTGTAAACCAAACCACACTGGCTTCCAAGAATACACTCTGAATTCTAGGATAAGGTGAAGAACATCTTTACTATGTGGGCTTAGACTAGGCTCCTTGAGCCCACATTAATTCAAATTGGCTTTTGTTTTGTTATTTAACATTATTGTTTCTAATTACTGTTTTAGCCAAGGATACTTTTAATTGTAATCATAAAGACTTCCATTAGGTTGCTTCTGTTCTTCCTTTCTGATTTCATAAAGACATTTTATTTTTATTTGTGCAAATGCATTTGTTTGTTGAAGTGTACCATGTGTATGCAGATTGCCAAAAGGGTATCAAAACTCCTTGGAGTTGGCTTTGGCTGTGACTGGAGGGCTGCGATCTAGGCTCTTGTTCCTCTGAAGAGCAGGAAGTACTAACTGCTGAGCCATTTCTCTGGCCCCATTCTTTTCTTCAATTAAATGTCAATGATACTCATACCCAGTACTAATGCAGCTTCGTACATTAGGCTCCATTTCTAGAAACTGTTCCACATGCGCAGACTATGCAGCCACTGATCTCAGCAAAGTGCTGAGCAGAGTCAGACAGATTCAAGGTCAGAAACCATGTGACTCTTTCTCCAAAACAAGCACTTCACAAGTCTTTCAGCGAGTGTCCGAGCAGTGACAGGTCCTATTTCATCCCAGCACTGAAACAAATAGGTATGGTGTTACAGCCTGTAACTTAAGAGGTGGAGGCAAAAGGATCAGAAATGTAAGGTCACCATTGGCTACACAAGGTTTTCTGCTAGCCTAAATGCACAAAACAAAAGCTGCTCAGTTAGGATTAAAACAATGCTGGGAATTCTAATTTTAAGCATATTACAGGGAAAAGGCCCCAAGGACAAAGACTGGCAACAGCTGTTCCCCAAGCATGAGTGTCCTGGCACTCTAAGGCAAGCAAGACAGAGCACTTGACATCAGGGAGCCAGAGGCTTAACCAACTTGGCTCGGATCTAGTCATCAATCCCCACATTTTGATGCTAGGTACTGAACCCTGGTCCCATGCAATCTGGCTGAGAGTAGTTAATATTTATCTACATCCCTAGCTGAAACCACTGCCATCTCAGTAGCCACAGTGGGAAGGTACATTTCATGACAGGTTAAAATGGCGGTAGTACTTCAAGTAGGGTGTCCACAAAGTTAGTCTCTATCCTGTCTTCAGGTCTCACAAGTCCAAATACTTAAACATGAGCCAGTAACTCTTATTTGATATAAACTAGCAACAGATATTCTAAACCAGAAAATAGTTGCAAGCACAAAACAGACTCCCCCTTTCCTAGAGGATATATATAGCTGGTGAAACAGGGAAGCAACAAAAGAGAGGTGATCTACCTAGTTAATAGCAGAGAGATGAAGACCAAATCAAAGCCACTAGGCAGAAAAACTGGATTTGATAAGTCATCAAGGCCTTCCCGGGAACAAGGCAAAAGAAGAGCAGATAAAGACAAAAAACAGTCTATAAAATACCTTTCTTGTCTACAGACCTCTGACCACAGACCCTGTTTGCAGAGTAGAAAATATTTCCTTTGTCCTGACAGCAAAATTCTCCTCCCTACAAGTTGTCACATAACTTAATCGCCTCTGGGACTGCAGCAGATGCACGGGACACAGGACACACCTCCTTTCAGTGGGTCCTGAGAGAGTCTTGCCAAGTTCTAAATGACTGCAGAGTACAGCTATCTTAACTGTATGTTTCTAGGAGGCTGGCTCGTGCACATTCATAATCCCTCCTTCTCCCCCAGGGGAGCAGGGGTTTGGACTTACAGGTAGGGCTAAGTCCATCCACTGGAAATCCCAGTCCCACCTCAGGTATTTCAGATACTCACTCTAGCTCATCTCTGGCTCTCTGGGCACCTCTTCTCTCACCCTAAGAGGTACAGCCACCTCCACCCCTCATGTCCCACACTGTGGCAGCACTATCTGAGCTCCTGATCCATTTCCTGCCTGTCAGCAGGCAGACCTCAGTACCTCCAGTGCCAGGTGTGTCTCTGGAGACAGATGAAGATGTTGGTGAATGAAGGAGAAAGAAACTCTAGGAATTTCACAGGTTCCCTCTTTTTCATGCCATTAAAGAAGGCATACTCAAATCAACGAACCAGCTCAGTAGGTGCAAACATGGCTGTCTGAGTTTCATTTCTAGAACTTGCATAAAGGTGGAAGGAGAGGACAATCATCTGACTGTGGCATGCATGTTTATGTGTGGATGTATGTGCATACACACACACACGTACACAGGTGAATAAATGATAAAAAAAAAAGTTGAGCTGATGAGCTGGTTCAGCAGGTAAAAGGTATCTGCTGGCAAGGCTGATGACCTGAGTTAAATCTCTAGGACCTAAACATTGTCCTAGGACCTCCACACATATAGCACAACAAACTTGTCCACCCCCACAATAAATACAAAAAGTTTAAAAAAAAATTGGTTTTGTTTTTTGAGACAAGGTTTCTCTGTGTAGCTTTGACTGTCCTGGACTTGCTGTGTAGACCAGGCTGGCCTCAAACTCACAGCAATCTGCCTTTCTCTGCCTCCCAGAGTGCTGGGATTAAAGGTGAGCACCACTGCCTGGCTGCAATGAAATAATTTTGAGATTGGGGGTCACTACATGATAGAATGTATTAAAGGGTTGAAGCATTAGGAAGGTTGAGAAGCACTAATCTAGGGGCTCATAGATCCCAGGAGATGATTGAAACATACAAAACACTAACACCTAGTGGTATGTTTGTTTTTTTTATCAGATCCTCTTCAAGTTTAACATCTAAGCCAGTGTAAGAACTGGTGCTGTGAAAGGCTTCTGTGTTAAACCACAGAAAACCACTGTCTGCATGCCAGCCAGGCTGCCTCTCACTGTTGTCTGTTTTCATACCAGGTTTAGCTCTGCAGAAATGAAGCACCCACTCCACCTTCTTCTTTCTCTCATCATATCTATGTGTGTTGGGAGCAAAAGCCATGCAGAGCAGCTAACCAATGAAAACCTGACCATGTCCTTCCTGCCTGCTAACTTCCACAAAGAAAACACAGTCACCAATGACTGGATTCTGGAGGGGGAAGAAGATGATGACTATCTGGATCTGGAGAAGCTCCTCAATGAAGATGATGACTACATTTATATCATTGATACAGTTTCCCCAACAGACTCAGAATCAAATGCTGGGAATATCCTGGAGCTTTTCCAAGGCAAGAGCCGGATCCAGCGTCTTAATATCCTCAATGCAAAGTTTGCCTTCAACCTTTACCGAGTCCTGAAGGACCAGGCTACCACTTCTGATAATATCATCATAGCACCTGTTGGCATTTCTACTGCCATGGCAATGATATCCTTAGGCTTGAGGGAAGAGACCCATGAGGAAGTACATTCAGTTCTACACTTTAAAGACTTTGTCAATGCTAGCAGCAAGTATGAGATTACCACCATCCATAATCTCTTTCGAAAGCTGATCCATCGCCTATTCAGGAGGAAATTTGGGTACACCCTCCAGTCAGTTAATAACCTTTACGTTCAGAAGCAGTTTCCCATACGGCAGAACTTCAAAGCTGATATGAGAGAGTTTTACTTTGCTGAGGCCCAGGAGGCTGACTTCTCAGATCCTACCTTCATAGCAAAGGCAAACAACCACATTTTGAAGCTCACCAAAGGCCTCATAAGAGAAGCTCTGGAGAATATAGATTCTGCTACTCAGATGATGATTCTGAACTCTATTTACTTCAAAGGTAAGAAGCAATTTTATGATTCTCAAAGGAAACTCACACTTCAGCTATCTGGAATACAAAAAAAGAGTTAAGACCTATATTGTAGCTATAATTTATGAAGGAAAATAAGACACTAGGTTGATTAAGGGGCAGGGAGGAACATGATGAGGTGGTAGCTACCAAGATCTGTTATTATTTTACATTCATTGAATTTCCATGTGGTAGGTATCAGGGTGTTAGAGTTATCAGAGTTTTTGTTTTACAGATAAATTCACCAAAGCATAGAGGTAAGATGCCTCAAGGTTTAGGGGCAACGTTCAGGCTGGATTTCAGTAAGCTATCTTTAGTGATTTATTAATTGGAGGAAATAATATAAACTACCCTTTTTAGTGGTTGGCTAGTGTGGATTAGGGTTTCTTCATTCCGCCTTCTCAATTATCAGTGAGTAGGAATATGGAGAAAAGGCTAAAGAAATATGTTTGGAAGCTGTTCAGTGACAATAACTGTTAGAAATACAACTTCTTAGGGTACGCTTTGTGTTTGGAGGCAGGGTCCCCTCTGGAGCCAGGGCTAGTTTGGAGCTTACTATGAAGACCAGGCTGGCCTGCTAAGATCAGCAGCACGAGCCACCACAACCAGCTTCTCAGGGCACCTTTGCATCTATGGTGGGCAGGAAATACATTATTAATTCTGTTCCTCTTGTTGTTACCTTTTCCTTTGAGACAGTTAGTTCTCTCCTTCTATAATGTGGGTTTCTGTGATAGAACCCAAGTTGGAAGGAGATCTTTATCTGCTAAGCCATCTCTTTGGTCTTAAATAGTTGTTTCTTCAGCAATTCTTATAGGCCAGGCATGACAGCACTTTTAAAAAAAGTACTATCTCCCACTCAACATATATGCACAGGTGTAGACCCAATTAAAAACTATTTTTTTAAAAAAAGGTCTTGTTATGTAGCCCAGGTAGATCTACAATTAAAGACCCTCCTGTCTTAGATTCCTACAATGCTGGGGCTATCCAGAAACAAAACAAAACAAAAAAACAGACTTTGTTGTTGTTTTGGTTTTTTTGAAACCAGGTTTCTCTGTGTAGCCTTGGCTGTTTTGGACTTGCTTTGTAGACCAGGCTGGCCTTGAATTCACAAAGATCTGCCTGCCTCTGCCTCCAAGAGTGCTGGGATTAAAGATGTACACCACCACGAGGGGCCTACATCCAGACCTCTTACTGGAATCTGATCAAAATAAACTTCCATCTTATTTAAGCCAAAGAGTAGTCACAGAGATGATTCAGCATCAGCACAACTGCTGCTCTGTTCAGCTACTTTTCTTTGTTATCACTGAGTTCAGGATCCAGTAAGGGAATAACTGCTGGGAAGACAGTACATCTTGTTTGCCCTCGTGGTTGTACTGCTCCGGAATGAGGACAGTGTCTTTCTCTTGGTTTCTGCTTGTAGAGCCTCTTCTGACCTGTCAATGTACTACACATAACTCCCAGTTCTGTAGAAAAGGTATCCAGCCAGGCTAGGCACCAAGTAGCACAAGGGAGGCTAAGACTTCACTGGGCTTGAGAGTGCTGAGGTCCGAGCCCCAGAATTCCTTCCAAACTGGGCACAGCACTCAAGTTTCAATGAGGGTATGGCTAATGGCTAAATCTCTAAAAAGCCTGTGACCATACACAGACAGACAAACATATAGTACATATCTGTGGTGAAAATATAATTTTCTTTTTCATTAATAGTTCTAAGTACCAGTTTTGAAACTGAGCAAACAAGAATCTAAGACTTGGGTTCACCCCTTCTCATTTGTATGACATCTCTTATGGAAAGGGTAAGACTGAATCTAATAGGACTATAGAGAGATCTGAAAAGACAGTGATGCAGTACTTGGCCCTGTGTGTTGCAAACAGTAAGAACATGATGAACTTGATGGAGTGAATATAATACAGTATAACATAACAGGAAGTATGTATGATATTGCTAATAGCATTTGTTTTCATGATCAATTAGCCTACGCTTGGAATGGCTTCAAAACAGGTTGGTGGGATACCACCAAAGCCCCCAGTCTTAAAAGTTTGCTGGTTGCCACAGACTCTAAATTAATTAGTAATACTTGAAATTCTGAACCAAGTGTCAGCACTGGAGCAGGTGGAAATGTAGAACAAACTAGACATGATCATATTATCTCTTAAATAAAGTAATCCATGTTATACTGAGGTGTAAAGGGCCTTTCTCCACTGGGTTGGAACACTGACTTGGTGCTGGGAATCAGAAGAGTGTTTCTGTTTGTTTGTTTGTTTGTTTATTTTGAGACAGGGTCTCGCTATGTAGCCCTATCTGTCCTAGAACTCACTCTGTAGACCAGGCTGGCTTGAAACTCTCATAGATCCGCCTGCCTTTGGAGTGGTGGAATTAAAGTGTTCCACTAAGCCTGTCTGAGAAGGATGCATCTTAAAACTTAGAGAATTTTCTAAATATAGTTTTAATTTCTAATTCCCAAATCTCTGTTACTAATTTAAGTGTGTTCTAATTGCTTTGTTAGAGCCGCTTCACAACACTGCTGGAAGAGCAGTGATTTCCAAAGGGTCTGAAGCAGACTGTCTGCAGGAACTTTGTGACTATTGCAACTTGAGCTGGTATCTTACTGGGAGTGCCAAGGGCTTTCCACAAAGCACAGAAAGTCCCCTTACTGTAGCAAATTGTTTAGTTTAGAACCCCTGGTGTGGCTGACTTAGAGGCAGCAACTGAGCTGCAACCAGGAAGCAGGTCAGAGCTGTCTGGTGTTTAAACTTCTTCCAATGATCCCTATCTTTCTCATCTTAGCTGCTCTATATACTAGATGGAAACCTTGAACAAGTTACTTTACTTCATTGTGTCTCTGTTACCTTATTCAAAAAGTATGGATGAAAATTAAAACAATCTATTTATATAACTTCTAGGAGGTGAAAATGAGATAATACAAGAAAGGTACTTAGGCTTGGCATGTGGCCTCTTGGCAACTGGTTACCAACATATTTAATTATGAGCATCTTAGAGCTAAGATTTATTCTTGAATGCTAGCTCTACCCAACCAACATGGAAGATCCTGAGGACACCACTGTATCAGTTATGTATCCTGCCAAATGTTAGAGAATCATAGTGTGAGGGCCCAAAGGGCTACTCATTTTACAAATAACTAGAGTAGAGGCCCAGGCAAATTAAGGATCTATCAGGGACAAATAAATAGTGTTAGAATTTAACCCATAATACCTTGTGGTCTTTTAAATTTCTTTTGTTAAGACTCTGGGATTGGTCCTAGAGAGTCCTCTAGGGCAAATGTTTCAATGCTAAGACTACATTCTAAAGGAACATTCTACCTACTGCCTGCTCCTTCTGACTTACAGGAACTTGGATGAATAAATTCCCAGTAGAAATGACGCACAACCACAACTTCAGGCTGAATGAGCGAGAAGTAGTTAAAGTCTCCATGATGCAAACTAAAGGGAATTTCCTTGCGGCAAATGACCAGGAGCTGGACTGTGACATTCTCCAGCTGGAGTATGTAGGGGGCATCAGCATGCTGATTGTAATTCCACGAAAGCTGTCAGGAATGAAGACTCTTGAAGCACAGCTGACACCCCAGGTAGTGGAGAGATGGCAAAAAAGCATGACAAACAGGTACATAAGGTCATTTGCTCCTTTGCTGTCTCAGGCTGGGGTGTCTGGGAGTACTGAAGCCATGGCCAATTTCTGCCTCTTCTTTCCCTCCCTCCCTCCCCCACTTTTTTCTTCCTTTTCTCTTTGAGTCAGGGTTGCCTAATCTGTTGCCCAGATTGGCGTGTAACACATTATGTAGTGTAGAAAGCCTTAAACCTGCAGGGCTCCTCCTCCCCCATTGGGTTTCCAAATGCCAGGATAACGTGTGGGAGCCACACTACCAGCTTTGCTTGTTTGTTTGTTTTTTCAAGTAGAAGGATGCAAAAGAACCCAAGAATTGTCACATAGGCCATGCTTGTTGCTTGAATTTCTTGTTCAATGGGAGCACTGAGCTGTTTCAGTCAGTAAGGACAGGTAGCTTTGGGTCATCTTAGGAATAACCTTCATCTACTCTACTCTACTTTGTGGCTCTGAACCCAGTTCAATCAGCTTCAAGAAGAGATCAATCACATTACCTATCAGGACTCAAGGTGAGAAATAATAAAACAGGTGGGTTGATTGGCCCCATCCCCAGCTTTTAGTGTTTAGAATGTAAGAGGCTTCCAACAACAATTAGCTCTCCCCTTCCCTGACAGGAAATCCCAAGTTCTTTCTAATTCACTGAAGACTTGTTACTCATGATTTCCTTGATTATTTATTACTTATAGCTGAAACAGCTGGTCAAAATTTGCTCACTTATTATTGGTCTACAGCAGAAAAAATAGAGACAAGAATATTTCTGTGTTACTAGATACTTACTGGTTAGACTCATAATGAGAAGTAAAACCTGCTGGACAAGAAATACGAAAAATGCAATAAAACTAAAAATACTGCTGGCTATGGTAGCACACATGAGTAATCCCAGCATTGGAGAAGCTGAGGCAGGAAATAATGAAAGAGTGAGACCCTGTTTCAAAAAAACAAAAACACATGCCAGCAAGATGGCTCAGGAGGTAAAGATGCTTGCTGCCAAGGCTGACTATATGAGTTAGGACCCAGGACCCACATGGTGGAAGGACAGAACAGACATCTGAAAGCTACCTTCTATACATATACCACATACCCTGGGCAATATGCATGCATAAAATAAGCAAATAAATAAATAAACAAACACACATACTAAAAGTTAAAACAAAACAAAAAAACCCTAAAATACAAAATCTTAAAAGCAGACTCTTCGAGGAAGGTGAATTTCCCAGGTATATTATGTTATTAATTATGTGGATTTGTCTAAAAACTTCCTTCTTCCCCCCTTTTCTATTTATTTCTCACCTTGAGTCCTGATAAGTAATGTGATTGATTTCACCTCGGGATTGACTGAACTGGGGCTCAGAGCCACAAAGTATAGTAGAGGAGGTAGAGATTTATTCCTAAAATGACCCAAAACTCCCTGTCCCTACCTTCTGAATTCATATACTCATTTAATCTCCTTACCAGTGACTTCTCTCTGGGGTCAATGAGGCCATGCCAACCCTGAGTTCTAGTCCTAGTCCAGCATATTATTTCATCTCCCTCACCCTCTTTATCCCCAGCAACAGGGCACTGATGAGCTTCTAGGCTGGTCCACAGAGTTTAGCCTTTCTGGTTGGTTCTGTTTAGCATCTTTACTCTTTCTGTTACTTGGCTCTTCCCTTCACACTCCAGTCAGATCCAAGGCCTTCATGGTCCTTGCAAAAATCAGGTTCTTTTTATATAAAATAACTTGACATTTATTTGGATCCCATGCATATTTTCCCCATAGACTATAAGTCATCTCTACCTTACCTCTTATACCTAACACAATATGAATTCTTAGTAAATAGTTGTTTTACTATTTTGCTTACAGCATGATAATAAGGATTCTGTACATGGTCAGTCAGACTCAGTTTTCCCTGCTACTTAAAATCTATGGCTGTGAAACTCACTGATATATGGGCTAACTGTAACTAGACTTATGGTGGCCATTTTTTTTTTTTTTTTTTTTTTTTTACAAAACCCTCAACTGACAGTACCAGTATGTGAAGAATTGCCGTGTCAATTCTGTGGTAAATGCAACCCATTTCAGACCATGAAAATTTAGCAGGAAAAAATGTTATTTTGTCATTTGTATCCATAAAACCGGCTCCCTTCTTCTTCAACTAGAACTCGAGAGGTACTTCTGCCCAAGTTTAAGCTTGAGAAGAACTACAACCTGGTGGAGGTCCTCAAGTCCATGGGAGTCACAAAGTTGTTCAACAAGAGCGGCAACATGTCAGGCATCTCAGACCAAAGGATCACCGTGGATCTGGTAATGACTCCCTCATGCATGCTAGTCCCAGATCCTGCCTTGCACTATTGCTGCTTCTCTCCCCAACCTCCTGTTGGGTCTGTGACCCAAACCTTAAGGATACAGGGGGCAAGGTGACTATTTTGGCTCCCAAGGCTTCTCAGACTATGGACATGGCCAAGAGTGAATGCAATTCTAGTGCATATATGTATATGTAGTATGAGAGACACTCTGAGCACAATTACCAAGTGCTCAAAGGTCATTTAAGAGCCATTTTGACGTAGGTGTGATTTTGTCTTATGTTAGGTCTCTGGAGCTTTTCTCTGATAAGCCTTAATCAGATGCTCTACCATCCCTACCCCCCTCTCTGTGACAACCTATACAACCTGACTCCTTTTCTTTCTAATTTTAAACAGTTCAAGCACCAAAGCACCATCACAGTGAACGAAGAGGGCACCCAAGCTGCAGCTGTGACCACAGTGGGGTTCATGCCACTGTCTACCCAAGTCCGATTCACTGTTGACCGTCCCTTCCTGTTCCTAGTATATGAGCACCGAACCAGCTGCCTGCTCTTCATGGGAAGAGTGGCCAACCCTGCCAAGTCTTAAAGGTGGTGCTTTGGGCATCTGATGTAGTTTGGGTACACTCTGTAGTTCTGTTTTCATTCTAACAAAGAGGACATAGCTATTTTGATATGATAACTTATGTGGTTTACGATAATAATCTGAATTTTAGGCTCACAGAAAAGTTATCATACACTAATAAGCTGACACAGTAAACAATGCTGTAAGTCCACAGGAGGTAACATACCTAACTGTTGTGCCAGCTATTCCTCAGAGGTCCTGGCAGTACACAGCCTGCCTTAGCCCTGGCTCCTTTATCCTGAAGAGCAAACTGCCAGAGTATATACCTGACACTTTCTGCACAAGTAGTCTAGAATAATAAAAGGCCTTTATTATTCAAGGCCTTTTCTCAGTCAGATCCCCCCATCTGAATGGTATTCAGGAGGCTCATCCTTCTGGAGAAGATGCCCAAGTAGCACCATTCCTGCCCAGTGGAAAAGTAACCTCAACACATCTGAGATGTTGGGACTTAAGTCAAGGCCCAACGTCCTAAAGTCATGTAAATATCTCCTCTCCTGCTGCCTCATTGTTACTTACATGTATTCATAAGGCTCCATAGCCTATCCTAGAGATAAATAAAAAAAAAAACATATTTACCATGTATCTGTTATAATTTTTTCTCTCTTTTTAAGAAAAAGATGTAACCTTGGCTGGCTTGAAACTTGCTAGGAAGACCAAGCTGGGCTTGAACTTACCAAGGTAGACTGGCTGGCCCTCACACTTGAGGGTCTTGTAGGAAGTCTTAGTTACATGGACTCCGTATCACTAATGGTAACAGCTGAAAAAGAGTTGCTATTTGCTAGTGCAAATGCACATGCCTACGTCTGCCTCCTGAGTGATGGGATCCATAGAAGCATTTCCACAACACCCAGAATAATAATATTATTTTTTTTTTCCAGCTCAAATAACAAAGGGCACACTGAGAACCACTGCATCCTTGAGAAAGACACAGGCTGACAGATAGTCTCTCAGTGAGGCACCTGCTTTAACTTCACCTCTCAGATGTGGTCCTGTTGTAGGTAAAGTTTGATGGGGCTGGCAACATCCAAGGAATATGACTTGGGATCATTCACAACGCTCCAAAAGGCATGGAACAAGATGTGCCTATAGTGGGGAGACGGTCAGCTGTAGTAGGAGCAGCAGTCATAAGCTCTGTGGGGGTGCTAACTCACTGTATCCCCATACCTTAGAGGAAGAAGTTTTATTTCCTCAATAATGTAAGAGCTGTAAGGGATTCTAAAACATGCACACAATACAGCTACAATACGTGATGGGGCTGGGGTCAAGGACAGGATTGCTGGACTTGAGGGTCTTGGAGGGAGCCTTAGTTACAGAGACCTCCAACCACATGGAGCAATACCAGTAATGGGAATAGTTGAAGTAATGCGCTACCCGCTAGTGCAATGCACATATATAGACACTGCTATACGCATGCTGTTGCTGGCTTTGGAAGTCCACACTATCTTCACCTCCTCTTGATACCTGAGGAAACAATGGCAATTTACAGAAGAAAAGTAATTTGGCAAGACCTAGGTCCAATCGTAGGTAGTTAGGATTTAAGGCCTGTACTCCGGCGAACCCTGCCTCTATCCATACCAGCTCTGTACCAGCACTCTACTGGGAAAAGATAGTGCAGGACAGAGTCAAAATCTCCCCACTACATCTCTTCAGCTTCTTGGTGAAGCCTGACATTGATGATGACCCATCACTTTTTCCCCATTTTTTTCTTCCAATTTGTTTTAACACTGCTTTTTTTCATGTGTTTGCTCAATATATTTTATCATGATGGTAATTTTTCTCAGTCCTTAAATTTCTAAATGTATCTTAAATCTGTGTCCTAAAAAGCTGGATAGACATGGCAATAACTGTAATCCCAGTTATTCCTTAAGGTTAGGAGAACTGGTTAAGCCTAAAAGTTAGAGCCTGGACTATATGGTGAAATCCTGTCTTAGAACAAGCACTTCCCCCCCGCAGCTTGTTAGCCCTTTGTCATGTGTCCTTTTCCCAAAAAGCCAATGGTCTCACTTTCAGTCCCAACCTCAACCACAGCCCACCCTTGGTGGCTCCAGGCTCCTTCACTGGGCAGGACCGTCTAGTCTCCACGCCTTCTACTTACTGACATCTACTTGGAAACCCTGCAATCCCCACTTAAAGAGATTAATTTACCATTTTCAAAGCAGTAGAGAATTAAGTCACAGAGCAGGCTCTGGGCTAAGCTGCCTGGGCTCAAACTCAAAGCTCTGAGATGCTGAGCAGGTTCTATATCTCACTATCCTCATTTGTACATTGGCGATAAAGCTGCAGTGGTCATACAGGGCTGTTGTGGTAAGATAATGCCTATAGGCAAGGTTTAGATCAGGAACTTAGTTCAGCAAGAGTATTAGGTAAGCTTTTCTTATTTTAATCTAAGAAAGCATCTTATTAAGGGGCTCCTAACTCAGAGGTCCTGGATAGTTTTTTCATCGGGCACACTGTGAACAGACGTATTTCTGTGGAAGAGAAATATAAAGCTTACAAAAGTGTCTATGACCTAGAAAAGGTTATAACCTGGCTAAAGCCACAAAAACTACCAGGGACAAAGATGAACCTGCTCTCAGTGGGACACAGGAATACTTCCTGGGGAAGCGACACATGTCAATAAGCTGCTATACTCTTAACTGAGCGGATGAAGTCTCTAAGTATCAGGCCGTTTGCTTCAGTATGGGATGGGTAGCAACAAGAGCAATGAAGAAATAAGTCTACAAAGTCAGAAGAGAAAGAGCACCTAAGCAAGCAGGAAGGAGTCTCACAGACCACAATATCCAGCTGCACAGTGACTCATTTCAGCTTCAGGTTTCTGAGATGCATTAGGAGGGACAGCCAAGCTGTTTACCCAAATCCATCTGCCCTTTTGAATCCAAAACTGAGTATACCTTTCTCTTTGACAAACTAAACCAAACAACAACAAAACAGTACAAAATACTAAATATTAAAAACAAAACAAAATCTCCCACACCTTTGGAAATCAATTTCTCTCAGAAGGTACAACAGGTCACTAAAAAGCAAATGCAAAAACCCAACATCCTTTGGCTCCTGTTGAGCAATTAGGTCAAATATTTGTTTCCTCCCCCGTAATATAACCATTAACTTTTGTTAAAAATACAGTCTTCCTGGGAAACCTGCTCATACTCGTGAATGTGTAGAACTGTTCTTTTGCTATTAAGTGTGTGCCCGGATGCCTAGCTATGTCCATGTGTCTCTCTTCTCAACACTAGCTTAAATCTACATTAAACTCTTAACTCCAATTAAAAAATAATAATACTCATTCTATCCATACAAAGTACAAAGGTTTTGGCATTTGGGAGTATCTGTTCTGAGATGTCATTCGTCACAGCAGCGCCTGTACTGACCCTATAGAGAGAGGTTCAGAGACCCAGAATCCCACAACAGCTACAAGCTCAACCCTGGCCTTTATGACTCTAAAGCCTGGGTGTTCCTGAACAACTTCACTCATCATTGCTACCCTCAAAGAGCAAAATGTCTCTTAACGATTTCTTGAATGAATTTATTACACTCTAAATGAACATTAATGGACATACTAAAAGTTCATAGGCAGCAAGGCCATTGGGGAAAGGGGATAAAGAAGAACATAGAATGACACATGATCAAAATCATTACTTTGTATGCTAATCTAAAAAATTAATTTTACGTGGAGCTTGAACCTATCTTCTGTAACCAGGCAACACTTCCAGTGGTGGGAAACCTTAACCTACAATTTGTCCTGCCTACAAGATACATAAGGGTAAAGATGGAGCAGAAATTGAGGGAGTAGGCAAGCAATCACTGGTCCAGCTTGAGACCCATGCCAGGAGAGGGAGCCCAATCCTGAAACACTATTAATGATATTCTGCTATCCTGGCAGATGAGAGTCTCCCATAACTGTCATCAGGGAGGCTTCACCCAACAACTGATGGAAACAGATGCAGAGACCCACAGCCACACATTAGGCTGAGGGGAAGGAAGGATTATAGGAGCTAGAGGGGTCAAGGACACCACAAGAAAACCTAAAGAATCAACTAACCTGAGTCCATAGAGGCTCACAGTGACTAAACTGCCTCCCAGAAAGCATACTAAGAATTGTGTAGCTTGGTCTTCATGTGGGACTAACAGTTGGAGTAGGGGCTGTTTCTCACGCTGCCTTTGGGACCCTTTCCCCCTACTGCCTTGTCTAGTCTCAATAGAAGATGTACCTAGTCTTAGTGCAACTTGATATGCCAAGGCTGGTTGATATCCATGGGAGGTCTCCCCTTTTCTGAGGAGAAAGGAAGGAGCAGATTAATAGTGGGTGGGAAGAGAGTAGAGAGGGAAAACTGTGGTCAGGATGTAAAGCAAACTAATTAATTAATTAATTAAAATGTTATTATTTCATTTTTATTTTGAGACAGAATCTTACTGCGTAGCCCTGGATGGCCTGGAACTCTATATTAACCAGACCACCTTTGAAATCATAGAAATCTGTCTGCCCCTCTCTCTTTGTCCTAATTGCTTGGATTAAAGGTGTATACTACCACACCCTAAACAGTTAATTTAAAAAACTAAATGGAGGGCCAAAGAGATGGTTTGGCAGTTAAGAGAGAAAAAGAGAGAGAGAGAGACAGAGACTGTTCTAGACTACTCCAGGCTATACAACAAGACTGACCCGGCCAGTCAGTCTCTCTCTCTCTCACACAGATTCCACTTGCCTGCCTAACTTTCTTGTCCTTAGGACCCTCAGGCCTCAGCCAGGTGGACTCTGCTGATGTAAACTTTCAAGATCTGAGCTATCAAGACAGCTGCTGGGAATGAATAAGAATGGGGCGCGGATGACGACGATGAAGTTATTTGGAGAAAGTAAGTGTAGTGACACATACCTTTAATTCCTGCACTCAGGAGGCAGGGGCAGGTAGTTGGTTCTCTGTAGATCAGAGCAACCAAAATGAGGCCTCATTTCTATTATTTTTTTTTTTAAAGTTCTGCAGAGCAGCAGATATAGCATAAAAGAGGACAGGATGATGATGGGCTCTCTAACACAGCTGTGCTGCATCAGGAAGCAGACCCTATATCCAGTGTACCCAGTCTTCCAGAAGTGACAGGGCTATAGCTCCAATGTCTGCAGGAGAACAAGAAGTTTCATGGCTTCATCTCACAAGAGAAAGCCAAGAAAGGAGGTCAGGCAAAGTACCAGTCAAAGACATGAATCCAGGCATGACACAGAGGGGACAGAAGCATGCCTAGGCACTGGAGTTAGGAACTGGAGTGAGTCTGCTGAGAAAGTCTGGGCTGGGCACAAAGTAAGTTATCCCATGGTTTTCACCAAAAGTCATTGTTGATGACTGAAAGAGCTATATGTATAGAGTTACTGAGATTCCATCTGTCTGTCTGTCTGTCTATCATCTATTTTTGTTGTTTCCTTGTTTTTTGAGAAAGGGTTTCACTATATAGTTCTGGTTGTTCTGGAACTTACTATGTAGACCAGGCTGGCCTCAAACTCACAGAGATCCCAAGTGCTGGGATTAAAGGTGTGTGCCACTCTGCCCAGCTGAACTACTAGGATTTTAGAAAAGCATTCTTATAAGGAATTTG